ACAATCATAAGTGTGACCTTTGCATTTTGTGGGCAGAATATCAATGTGATAAAATGTATATGTAGATCTGGTGACATGAGTATTTCTTCCTCCATTTTTGGGAGCAATATGTTGAAGACCTATAAATTAGCTTTCGGGGGTACAAATAGGTGTACCCTGGGTCTATGAGTATAGAGATAATGCATGAATAGACCATACTGTGAATGAAGAATATAAATGGTTCCAATTTAAATAATGGATTGAATTGATATCTGAAAATATGTAGGAAATCTTATACTGATACAGGATCATTCATTCCAACCAGTTATACATCTAATGGTTATATTTGGTTTATGGTTTACCATGAATGGTGTGTGAGTTTTGCTTCAAAATTGATTATGGAAATCCAAAATAATGTGTTTGGAAAGAAGTCTCATGAAAAGACAAGTCAAGGAACATGGAGAAATACATGTGTTCTGAAGCAGGATTTGATTGAAAGTGAACCAAATGCCTAGAAATTTGTGAACTTGAGGATGAAATATATATCCTATGATGTGCATCAACTGAAGAAATAGTAATGTAGCAGTGTTGAATAAAACTGAATGTCAAAATACACATCATGTCCCATGGGAGTCTACTTGCATTTCTTTGAAACAGGGTCAGTTTCTGTAAAACTGTTAGGATTTCTACCCACCATTCACTGAAGTTACATTTCAGTACTAGGAATCAAATATGTATTTCAGGTGGATGAATATTTCTGAGAATAATCTTGTGAAAACTTGATTATAAATTCACATACATGAACATGAATTTAGGGAGTGTAAAATAAGACACATATACTTAATATTTTGAAAAATCTGGAGAGTGTGTGTGTATATATATATATACACAAAACACACACACACAGACACATTGAAAAGTAGAAATATATACGCCAATTGAAATTCATCATTAAATATATATCATCCACAGATGATAAAATATTTAGTTTACTGAATATGGATTTATGTATCATGTTGTTCAAGTAGGAAGCTTACCCACAGGTTGATTTTCAGTTCCAACAGCATTTAGGAGGAGTGATCTCTTCTCACAGTTTGTATCTGCCAAGTCAGCCACCTCACAAGGATGTATCTGGGAAACCAGGTGGGATTCTCTATGTGCATGTAAAAATACATGTGCTGAATAGGCTACAGAAAAAGAAAGACAGGAATTTACATATTTGTTAACTTTAAAAACACATGGAGAACTATTACATTGGACAAGATTCATAACACCTACACTTTATAATGAAAAATGCCTGTCCAACTACACACCATGCCTCCTTTGAACTGCGTGTATTTCTATTCTGTTTGGGATACTTTTCTCCATCATATTAGGATTCGTAGTCAGAGTTTAGTAGGGTATGGGTTAGTGTCAGGGATTTAGTACTTGGAATGGAAATAGGAAAATGAATCCAATGTGTATGCACATATGTGCTACTCAAAAATCTTCCCACTGTCAACCAGAACAATTCCTGTATATTACCCTCGCCCCAAGTAAGACGCAATTCAAAAAAAAGAGTTAGAAAATCTTTGAATACATATGTGGAATGAAAAATGCTCAGGAGTTCACAACTTTGGAGGTGGTAGAGGAGTTTCCATAAGTAAGGGATAGGATAAACACTTCACAAACATGGAGCTCTGCTGGCCTAAAGAATTCTTGAGAAACTGCCTCTGAGGTTGGGCACGTGAAATATATGTTGTTGTCAGAAGCTTTATCTTTTTTTGTAGTGAGACCATCAAAGCTGCCTCTGCATCTAAGTGACCTGGAGGACATGGTTTCATATTTTCTAATGAACATGAGGCAGAAGTGCTGAATTCTCTCTTTGTAGGTAAACTGTGGCCACTGGGTCCAAGTGTCTCTCCATGGGGACTGTGAAGCCATTTGGTCATCCTCCACTTTTCGTGGTGTTTTTTGCTGCTGCACTGGGAGTTTGCTATTTGCTTCACTAAATACAATGAGTTCAACTGGGACACAGTGCTGGAGGGAGTACTGTCACGTGTGGTGGGTCAGGGTCCTAGGAGAATGCACCAAACATGCTTCTATCCCACAGAGCATGGTCCCTTGACCACAGCAACTTGATTCTGAACATTGCCCTGAAACCTCTCCATATAACAAGATGCCTTTACATATAAGGGTCTGCTGGCTGCACCATGTCAGTCACAAGCCATTTGGAAGCCAATGGCAGATCCACATGGCCCCACCAAAGACGTTTTATCACACAGCTGCACACCACTGCTCTAGGCCCACTACTCAGCAGGCCCCACCTTACTGGCATCTCTGTTCTACATCATTTTCATGCAACCCAGTCAATCAAGGCACCTGTCTGGTACACTCATGATCAGCAACAGGACATCTAAAGGTTCTACAGTGCCACCTGGTCATGGGAATTTCAAAGATTGCATGGTATTTATCTAGCCATTTTTAAAGGATGAAGGTGGAGGCACTGTGGGTTTCCATTCATTCAGGAACCATTAAATGGTGAGGAAGATCATTTCAATGAAAGCTCTGGAGAACTCTCACAAACAAGGCTTCCCAAAGAGTGGCAAAAACGTCACATGAAACCAGGCCCACTGAGGTCAACAATGTGAGGTCCATGTGTGTTTTGACTCTCAACTATGGCTGCCAGGGTTTAAGAATAAAATAATGTGATATCCTGGATGAGTATCAAAGTGTTCTGTGGAAAGTCACCCTGTGCTTCGATCTCAGTTTCCAGGGGGGACTCTCATGCGTGGCCTCCGAAAATCCCAACACAATTCATGGCAATACTTCTCTGAGGTCAGTTCCAGAACTCAGTCTCCAAGGGGAATCACACCAGAGTTCAAGCCCTGCGGACACAGTCATCTCTTCCACAGCCACACAAATGACCACAATTCAAACCAAAACAGTGCTGCAAGGCCCTCATCTTCTTCCATATAGACAATCCTCATATCCTCTGGCTGGAGTTTTCCATGAGGGGCGCAGCCTAAGAAAGTGTCCACAATGAGCTCCCTTGCCCCTCATTTGCCTAATGTCAGGGTGGCCTGGGCACCCTTCCTTTAAACCAGGAGTGATCAAATAGGCCTGCCTTTAATACTGCTTAGCTACTCCAATTTGAAGCCTGCTGATTGTGGGGTATAGATTCTTTGTGTGAATTGGAGTCATGAGAATACCCAAGCACATAATGGATAGCCTCTGCAGGGCTTTGAAAAACTCATTTGACCCAAGGGATCCCTATTCTCACTTGATGGAGGTCAGGAACCTTACAGAGGAAGGCGAGAGACTTCATCCACAATGACTGCTTTTTTGCCATATTGGCTTTGGATGCACGTATGAAATCCTTCTTGAGATCCATCAGGTGCTGACAATCTAAGCCACAGCCTCACACAGGGTCAAGAGGCTGATTCAGACACATACCTATGCAAAGCACTTAAGCAAATAGCCACAGGTGATGCCCATTTGTTTGCATTTGAAAACTGTTTTCTTCAGGCTTCACAAAGGTGTGTCCTAAGGCAAAGACCTTCCTGACATCCAGGGAAACAGAACAATAGAAAAGCAAAAGGCCCAAAGCAGGGTTTCTCCACTGAGACTTTACTGGGCCCACTGATATGTGAGTTTTCTGAGATGCTCGCCATTCCTTTCAGCTATCCAGTACATGGCCATGTCACCACGCTTGGAGATGGTACATATCTTGGACGCAAAACCATGAGCCTATTCTGAAGAGTGGCTAGTATTCAGTAAGAAAACAGGAATTTAGGAAGATAGTAGGTGTTGCCCATGGATAAGGCAAGCCGCAGTCCATTCATAAATTGGGCAAAATGAATGATGGAAGCTTTCTACTAGACAGGACACATCGATTGATGCATTCTCTTTTCTAATGTCTACAACCATGGACACAGTGGGAAACAAAGACACAGCAACACTCCCCTTGTCAAAAGACTTGCTAGAAACAGTCCACTCCTAACCAGACAAACCGCCTTTCCTAGCTCTTCTCAGAACATCAGACCAAACCACAAACTAATACCCACACCCACCAAGTCACCTCCTTCTCCCAAGGAGGTCTGTGACTACCCACAGTGTCCTCTGAATGGTGGGCCATACTATGTTCCCCTGAAATGGCCTGTCCTGTCTCAGATCTGGACTCCATGGCCAATTCTGTGAAGTTGTCAGGAGCCAGGGTTGAGCCCCTACCTGCTTTCTCTGAAAAGACCCACTTCAGAGCTTTCCTGTCAATTGGCCATTCTCACATATGTAGGTACCAAGAAAGACTGACTCTGTCTTTCTTAAATCCAAACAATTGAGCCCACTGGGACTGGCACTGGGACTGCCTCTGCGTGTCTGGCTTCCTGGATCCCAAGTTCAGAGAGTTCCATCACATAGGAAGTGTGGTGAGGTCACTTCCTTCAGGAACTTAATGAGGTCACTTGCTTGGAAACCACTTTGTCCTAACTGTTACTTCCAAGGGTCCCATGAGATGGAGGCTGCCCCTGCTTCCTGTGACACTTTCACAACTTACAATGGTATATCAACCGTAGGCACCCAGGAAAAGCTCTCCACACAGGCCTGGTTTGGGCCATCTTGTCTACATTAAGAAGAGTGAGGCTCATTCAAACACATCCTTTCATCCTGATCAGGTTGTTTGCCATGGAAGATGACTTTTGCTCTCTCAGGTCTTTCCTAGATGCCTAAATATTCTCCAGGGATCATTTATGCATGGAATTTTGAGGTTCTCAGCAGGTGGAAGATCCCCTACATTCCTGTATTGTAAGACCAACTCTGTCCCTGCTCTTGTGTAAAGTTAGATTGAGGTAACAGTGTATGCTTGGGGTTAAGAAAATGTTCTATTTGGGTTAGGAATCATTCTCCTGGATGAAGAATGGTTTTGAGAACCTGTGATATTTATAATAATATAGAGGTGAAATATATGTATGAAAATAAAAATCTAAGTAAGATTTGAAGGCCAGAAGGGCATTGGGCCCTTGATTGGGATACTTAGCTTTGAATTAAATTCTGTACAGATGTCTTCAATAAATCCATATACAATAGCACAGGACCTTGTACCTTGGATGATTCAATGTAGATGAGAACATCCAGTCAAAAAAAGATACTAGGTAGAATTAGGAAGATAGTCTGTAGGTTTAGGAAGAAGAGTGAGTAT